TTCAGAAGGAGGTTTAAGGTGGCCTGTATATCTGAAAACAAATTGCTGAGGTGCAGACACACACATTTAAAACATTTTGAAGGGTACTTCAAAAGCTGTTCAGAAATCCCTGAAGCTTGTTTTAGTCAGGAATCCAGAAAATTGCATGGATGTGAAATGTTTCACAGTCCAGTTGTATAGCAAGTGCAAATATTAAAAAAAAAAAGAAGAAAGTGCTCACCAAAATTTGCAGCCTTTGGAATACATCTTGAAATTTTAAGCAAAGCATTTAAATACTTGTTTCTACAAATGACAGGAGTGTGGTAGGGGCCAGAAGTCTTGTATTTTCTGTGCAACTTGTCTGTCATCTTCTTTGTCAAGTACTTGTCTCCCTTGGACTTCAGTGGGATTTAATTCAGGTTCTAAATTCTGTAACAGAAAAGAAAATAAATTTTAATATAGTGAGATTATTCTTGCTGCCCTTGATTAACAGTCACTTTTTCCATAGCTGTCCTAATATGTGCATGAAAACTTAGGTCCACCTCCTTTTAATTTTTGTCTCATTTATGGAGACTTCTAATTCTCTTTTCCAGAATATAATAAGGTTGTTTTTCAGTAATTGCTTTTTTTATTTAATGACATAAATTTTTATTTCACTGCTTAAAAAAAAGCACAAGTCCTGTGCTTTAACAGTTATTTTACTGTGTGAAAGAGCAAAAAGCCTATATACTTATTTGTATTTTTAAAACCCTTTTGCAAACTATTTTCAGAACCACATCATGTGATGTGATATGTTCCATATTTCTAACTCATGTGATTCTAACTACTGTTAGTCTGTCTGTCTGTTTGGAGGTGCATGTCACTTTGTGGTTAGTCTTTTATGCAACTGGAACTTTTTTCAGTTCCATTTATGTTTTTTGACACAATACTGTGCCTGTATTGTAAGGGTATAATGAATGAATGGAATGCAGTGCTTGCAGATTTTTGTTGGCTAATAGTATTTATTTCACTCATTAATGTGATTTGCAATACAATAAAATGTGTGTTATATAATGACCGTACATTTATAAATACGTTTTTAAAGTCTACATATTTTTTACTAAAGACATTGTGAATGCTAGCAATAGTTGATTAAAAAATTTACCTGGTAAAAAAATTCAGAATACTGCCATAGTTTTATGTATATTTCTGGATATGAGCTTCAGCGGAGCACTTCCTCAGCTGATGTGTGCTGGGTGGGATGGAATCTTCCAAAAGCTCCAGAGTGGAAGAGCAAGATTATTTTTCCTGTGGTGTAATAGCATTTTTTTTAAAGAGATCCGATGAAAGGTAATGAAGTGTTTCATAGCACAATGGTCATACATACCGAGTGAGGAAGTATTTTGTTAATTAACTTGTTCATAAATTGTCAAAAAACTAACATATAATTCACTGATGGTTGTTGAAGTTGGAACACCAAAAGGAGAGTTTGCATTAAATTTCTTTGTCCTAGCTGTAAGTAACACAGTAGTCATTTTTGCTTATTTTTCAGTTGCTTTTGTAGTTGTTTTGTTTGTTCTGTTTTCAACATGGAACAAAAATTTTGTCTCCAGAGTGTGACTTTGGAAAGCTTGTCTTTTGGCATCGTCCATTAAGCAGAAGAGATCTTTTGCTGTAGAAAACTGGTGCTTATGGCTGCTGGGTCTCTTTGCAGTTATTTGCATGCATGTCATCTTTGTACAAATTGGAAGAAAGACTTGACACTGAAGCCTTTTGAGTGTGTTTAACTATTAGTTTTGAATTGCAATTCTCTTCATAGAATTTCCTAATTCAAATGAGGTCAACTACCAAAAAAAAAAAAAATTTTTTTCTTGTTAAGTGTTCCAAATTTTTTGTGTAGATAGCCTACCTAGTTTTTCATCTGGCCAATACCTAAAGGCCTTAATTTCCTACCAATTCTCAAGGCACTTGTTCAAAGGTCAGATATTTCAGGAATGCAATTTGAAAGTTTTGTTTGGATGGGATCCCACAGTACATCTTCTGAAAATTGTGATTTCCACCCTGTATTTGTGGTATGATTTATTGCCAAGCTATGAGGTTTCAAACTGTATTTCAGACCATTTACTAGAAAAGATAGTGGCTATGTTCACAGTGGAATCCTTTCAGATCCAATTTTCTTTCATTTCAGGAAAAAGGCTGGTCAGAAGTAAAATAGTATGAAGGATCTGGCTTCAGGATCAGATGGTGGTCATGTTGAAGTAGAAGAGGAAGCTAAAAGCTGTGAGAGTGATAGGAATCCATAGCAGAATTTGGAAGCATTTTCAAAGATGAGGAAATAAAGTGAAGATGGGAGTGGGAACATTTTCAGTATAATTCATGGACATTCATGAAATGTTGTTCTACTGTGACATGTTATGTGCAGATACTGAAGATGAGTAGTACTTTTGAGAGGTGTTAGCTTGAAATTGGTAAAAGAATACAATTGCAGTTGCATCTGTTCAACTGGGCCATTTTCATATTCCTTCTTGCTGCCTCACCTAAAAGCGAGTGAAAATATCAGGTCTATATCGTGCTGTGCTTTCAGACATATTAAAAAGGCTGTTCAGCCCAAAGTTTTCACCAGTATAATTTTATTTTTCTTATCAAGGCTTCACTAATCTTTTCTTCAACACACCAGCTTCTTCAGAAGTTCACCCTGGCATATAATCAATACCACAGTAGCATTTAATCCTACGTATTTGTCCATAACTTACTTTTCTTATCTTAGTCTTTTTCTTCAGATACAAAGTTTTGTGCATCCTATTAACTTTTTGCGTTACTTCATTGATGAGCTACAACCCGGGATTTTGGATGTCGTAAACAAAAAATAGCCTCTTCTGAATTCTGTATCTCCGGATGCATTAAGAAAGTACTGTTTGCTGTTTTCTTATATCGTGTTGTAGATTGGCATTAGACTACCATAAGATTCCACAAGACAAAAATCTTGTTTCCTTCCTTCAGCAAGTTTGCAAGCTACAACATTAGCACACGGAGCTCTGGCTCTAGTAGAGACAGCTAAAACTGGATAGAAACTAGATCACAATTTCCACACTTAATAAGGTAGTAAGTCAGCTGTTGCCATGGGACAGAGTTGTTTGAATTGTCATAACCATTCCATAGGCATAACTCTTAGGCTTGTGCCAGATGCTCCATCCTGTTCCTGCTGTGCAAAACAGCTGGAAATTCAGCTTACAAGGATTTCTTGCCTAGAGGGAAACTACAGGTGGCATAGAGTTGAGATAACGTGAATTTGATGGGAAGATACGTCATATGCTCTGGCTCCAGCGTCACTGTTCTAGCTTCAGGATGCATGTCTGATCTTACGTTTGAAGCATAATAGGTGGAAACTGCAGTTCAAGGCATGGGAAACAATCTTAAAAATTGATGTAAAGAGGTGAAGCTGGTTCTTTTCCTTTTTATGAATGTACTTTGTTGCAGTACCTTTTGCTTTGCTGCTTTTTCTTTTGGTTTTCATGGATTTTTTTTTTTAATTTTCCCTGTAGCTTCAGTTCTGGGGTAATACTTTGCCTGGTAGTATAATCAGTTTGGACTCTGGAATCCTTTTTAGCTAGCTTTGAGAAATATAGTAATATCAAATGCAGGTGAATCTGCTTGTTCTGTATCAAATTGTGAGAGATTAATCTCATAACCAGCAGTTGTGTGGTGGATCCCCATCTAGCTGATGGATTAGTTCTCAAATGCAGATGGACCTTTGCAGGGTAATCTTTCTGAAGAAGGAACAGATATGGCTAAAACACGTTGCAAAATGCAAGGAGTCCCCTGTGAGTACAACTGTTACTAAGCTAAGGTTGTGGATCTGTGTGTTAATATTATTTCAAGCAATAAGAAGTTTACATTAAAAACTCATAAGCAGTGAAATGTTATAGCTTTCACTGATTTCACATATGGTGCTTTACTGTTTGTTAAATAACAAAAATTTTACTAGCCCTTTTCAAGTATGAAACTTGTTCAGAGCTTAAGGGTTGAGAAACACATACTGTTGGATACCTTCTGCAGAGGCTCTAAGCTGAGTAAAACAGAAGTAACACCATCATCACTGAGGCTTTGTTTACAGACAAGAGTTCAACTGTGTCTATGTAGCTAAAGCAGTATAACTGAACGAGCAAGGACGATGGTTGGCTGGTTAGAATGTTTATGGGAATGGAAATAAATTATAGTGCTGTAAGCTGCATTTATAGGAATGTAGCTGCAGTAGGGTTGTACAGAGGAACTGCATTGCCATAAGGAAAACCCACATCTCTCGCTGGAATAATAATATTTGTGAGGGGGCCAGCCCTAAATGAATTCCAGTTGCATTTCTGAGTACTTAAATGAGAAAGCTGCTTCAGTAAAGGCTGGCGTTGGCTTGGAGAGGATTTAACACCAAGAGGCGTTGAATATCTGCATCTTCACTGGAGTCTGTGCTATTTAAGGGTGCTGTAAGCCACTGCAGTCTTGTGTTTCTGTCCTGGCTATAAATCTCGTTGAAGACAGTGGGAAAATGCTTGGGTGGCTGCAGGACAGGAGCCTCTTTAGAAGACCTCTGTTAGCCTGATGTATCTTGTTTTCTGACAAATCAGGTGCACAGTCAGTAGGAAGCAGTTTATCCTGAGTGAAGAAAAATGTGCCAAAGTGTGATCTTATGTGACAATCACAGAGGCAAGCTGGGACACAGTACCAAGTTTTATTCTTTTCTGTAGTTTTATTTCCACTTTTTGCTTCCATAGCCAGCACATAACTAGCATAAGATTACAAGTGCAAGCAAAGCACCACCGCCTCTCTCTGGGGGCTCAAAGGAGATGTTTATTCTCCCTAAATATGAGTTTAAATATGTGTTAGAGGAACAGGCTATCTAAAAGGCTGTTCCCATGAGAGTTTTCTCTGGCATAATACTTTTCTGATACTTCTCAGAATGCACTGATCTGGGGACACTGAAGAGAGGGCAGCACAGAGATCACAACATGTGCTGAAGACCTGAATTGAGATGGAAAGAAGACAATTAGACATTCTCTTTTTTGGGGGGAGGGGAGGGAGGTGGAACTAACAATGTAAAGAGTTTCGGATTAAACACACCCATCATAATAAACCAATAGCTCTGTTGAGTCAAGAACTAAACTAAGTGTGTTCGATTCTTAAACTGAGTCAGTAGTGTTTCTAAAGAAAAAGCCCTACTGGTTTATTTTAATTGGAAGTAAATATCCCATTTTCAAGCATTTTGTTCTTAATCTTTGGTTTGCGTTTCCTTTAAACGCTTTCCTCTGAACTGGCAGCTTGGGTTCATCAGGTTCCATTACTATTTCCAACATACTACCATTTAATTTCAGTGTGGCAGATTTTCTATTAATGCTTTTCAGATGGAGCTGACATCAGATTTTGGTGGCAATTTTTTTTCCGTAAGAGGACTTTTTATTACTGGGATCACAGAATTATTTTACTTCACATGATCTTTACCCTTCCTTTCTCCTCTCTCATAATATCCATCTTAGTGAGACCACTGCTCTGAGTCAGACTCTGAATTTGCTTGCAGATGTTATAGGATCTAGTTTGAGATAATTTCTAATGCGCATCGTCATGAACCCTTTCATTTTAGTTCCTTCTCACAAGATCTACAGTATAGTTTCTTCTTATTAGTTTCCATTTAACATTGCGAGAGCTGCTGCTGCCACAGATACCACATGATGAAGAAGAAGGAAGAGAAACACACTTTTCATAGGGTTTCTGCACATAGGTGCAGAGAAGAATTATGTGGGGGGGATGACCAGTGCAGACTACCTGGTATACCTCCCACTCAAAACAGAAGTTAGCTTCGAAGTCAAGTCCAGCTTCAAATTTAGATTAGGTTGCTAAGGGCCTTATGCAGTTGAGTTTTGAGTATCTGCACTGATGGAAATCCTGTGACTTTAGCTCCCGTTCTTGTTCTCAATATGAAGAAGTTTTTTTCTTTATACGTACATGAAATTTCCCTATTTTGCTGCAAAAAATTGGATTGAGATGTTTTTTAAATTAGAATACGAAGTTTTAGAAAGATTTTTCTTTTATTGGAATAGAAGTTCACACTTGAAAATAATCCTATATAACAATAGTTGAACAAACCCATACACAGCCATTCTGGAGGCAGCAAAGAGGTGTGCAAGCAGCCAGTCTAAGAGAGTAAGACTGAAGTACTGCTTTCGGTAGTAGAAGGAAGAAGTCATGATTACAGACACAATGTGTAGAAGATGGGTGTTGGTAAGAACAGGGCCTTAATTAACTTCTTGCAGTTATTTTTATTGGTGGCTTTTTTTTTTTTTTTTTTTTTTGGTGCGTCACAGGGTAAAATTCTCCACACATGACTGCACTGAGATATAATGTTTCCTTATTTTGGAATATTTCCCTATTTAAAATAGTGATATTTTATGCCATGACAGATTAATTAGATTTAAATACCCCAGTCATTGGTGAAGATGCTCCAATATGAGAGGATACAGATGCTACCTATTCTAAATGTCTGAAAAATAATGAAAAGACAAAAATCATAAAGTTTTTAATTTACACAGTGAAGAGATTTAATTCTGGCTTGACTGAGGCTGTCAAGAGTTGTGCGGCTGAATCTGTTGTCAGCTATAATGAACACTTAATGCTTCATTTTATGTGAACATTTGCAGCTGTGAAGGAACAGGCAGCTTTACCTCTTAGTCAAACAATACATAAAGTGAATTATGCTAGAATAGATGATGTACAAAAACAGGTAACAGAGCTGTGTGGTAGGTAATACATTGACTTACAGAACAAAGTGTGAGGGAACTACTTTTTCGTATTTATTGCTTCCTACAGTCATTGGATTGTGAGAGTGGAGCTCATTTAATGGAAGTCTTGTTAAGAGGAGTCTGCCATCCTGCCTTTGCCTCTCTGCCTAACACACTACAGACACGAACACATGCCATGTATTATTTAAATGTGTAAGTTGACACATACAATTTATAGGATTTAGAAGTGGAAAGAACATGAATTATACAACAGAAAGCTTTCAGCTTGCTGCAGAGTTGAATGTTTTTAATGCAAAATGAAGACGCACATTAACCTTTAAAAAATCAAAGGGATCTTGGTGAGTATTTAGATAACTGAGCTTCATGCCCATTTGTCCTACTCTCAGCAGTGAATTTAGTGAAGGTCTCACTGGTTTAAGCATATGTGGGCTGAGCTGGAGGATCAGGATATGGTGTGTTTGTGTGACTGCTTTCTGATTAAACAGATTCAGGTAATCATGTAGTGAAGCTGCCCTTTAGTATGACGGTGGCTTGCTCAAATTTGATTTTAACTCAGCTTGACAAAGAGGTACGGTATCAAATAAATCCCCAGCAGTTACAAATACGGGGTTTTGATGAGAGGAAGGAGCCCAAGCCATCAAGAGCCTTTGCTGAGACTAACAGGAATGTACAGCAGTGCCCCAGCCAGTGAGATAAGCTTCCTACTGAGTCTTGAGTCAACTCCAGAAACCAAATGCAGGGAAAACTGCGCTTTTCTAGTTCTGGTGTTCAAAGAACAACTTTTTTTCTTTTCTTTTCTTTTTTTTTTTTTTTTTTTTTAAGCATAAGTACAGTTATTGTGAAATGTTATTCTGAAGTGAATATAATACAGTCTTGATTTTCTTCTTAAGAAGGTTGAAGTCGGGATCTGCCAATTTAGCAAACTAAGCTTTCAAAATGGGCATGATGCTTTTTTTTTTTTTTTTTTTATCTGAGCACTTCAAAAGCCATCAAAGTAGCTGTTACCATCTGTCCTGGAAACTATAAATAAGCATAAAATAGTACAGGAGCAGGAAAAAAATGTTATGCCAGCAGTTAATGTTGTTGTTATTAATGCTGTTTTTTTTCTCTTTTTTTTCCGCTTTTTACAGTGTATCCTATTCAGTGCATGTCTCTGAGGATTACCCAGGTATAGTGCAACATTCTTCTCCATGACACATATATGTATGTTACTGCAATTTGCTATATTCAGATCAGAATATCTGAAAGGGTGTTGATGTCTTCCAGGTGCATCCTTGTGCTATGATTTTTCATTAGTTAGATTATTTTTACAGTCATTTCTTCTTTTCAGACATCATTTGTCAGCTCTGGCAGGGTGAGAAAACCTGGTTTACAAGTTTACAGAGACAGGAGCTTGTGATGCTTTCAGTGCCTGGAGCCAACAGTGATAGGGGTGAGAAAGCACCGAGCTCCACCCAGCTCCTCTTTGGCGAGGTAGATAAAGCTCGATCTCTGAAGAGGCTGAGCAGTCTGTCACAGGGCCAGCAGAGCACTTCTGTGTTAGACTTTAATGAGACTACTCAAGTTCTTCAAGTTAAGCCTGTGGACTGTGCTCTGATACTTCTCCTGGTCAGCTGGATCCAAGGGTTTGTGCAGGGCTATGTCTTTAATAACACCAGCTTGCAAAGCTGTTTCTGGCAGCTCAGTCCTGTCTCCCTGTCATACTCTGAGCTGGTTGGCAAAAGCATTTGTGTAACCATGATCAGTCTAGACAAGGGGAATTATTCATATGAAAACCAACCAGGCAAGAGCAAAAGCTAGTTTTCAGATACCTTTTTTTCCTGATATCCTTTGCAAAGAGACTGCACAGGTACTTCAGGTGGCACAGAGGTTAGCAGAAGCAAGAGAGGGAAGCAGGAGAGGGGAGGGCAGACAGGTGTTATACAAGTAAACATACATGGTAGTACTGTTGAATTTCACCACATTATGTATTTTGTACCTAGGATTATTTAATAGTGTGAGCACCATGAATTATATGAAACCATCTGGCCTTTTTTGGTATTTATCTGTAACATCTCTGTAATATTTCAAAAAGAAATATTTCTTGTTTCTTTTAGAATCTTTAAAGAAGTGACACTTTGACCTTCACTGATAAGCAGTAGACTATGTCTGTTCAAACCATCAGAGTTTTTTAAGCAAATACAGAGAGAAATGAGCATCAGCAGTGATGCTAAATACAATGCATTATGTGAAAGAATGCTCCCAACTTTTATGAGAGGTTTTTTTTTTTTTTTCACTGGCAAAAATAGGAGGGAAAATGGCTACAAATACTAATCTGTTCAATATGTAGTAAAGGTTGAAACGGATTCCTAAAATACACACTCATACCCATGATAAAAGTGATTTCCTAATTACTCCATTGTCTTGACAATTAACAGAGAGACAAATAGTTGGGAAAAATCTCCATCATATGTTATAGAATCATAGAATCATAGAATCATAGAATGGTTTTTGTTGGAAGGGACAATCCCCCTGCCATGGGCAGGGACACCTCCCACTAGCCCAGGTTGCTCAAAGCCCCATCCAGCCTGGCCTTGAACACCTCCAGGGATGGGGCATCCACAACTTCTCTGGGCAACCTGTTCCAGTGTCTCACCACCCTCACAGTAAAGAATTTCTTCCTTATATCTAGTCTAAATATGCCCTCTTCCAATTTAAATCCATTACCCCTCGTCCTGTTGCTACATGCCCTTGTAAAAAGCCCCTCCCCATCTCTCCTGTAGGCCCCCTTCAGGTACTGGAAGGCTGCTATTAAGTCTCCTCGGAGCCTTCTCTTCTCCAGGCTGAACAACCCCAACTCTCTCAGCCTGTCCTCATAGGGGAGGTGTTCTGTCTCTCTGACCATCTTCATGGCCCTCCTCTGGACCCGCTCCAACAGCTCAACATCCTTCTTCCGTTGGGGGGCCCAGAGCTGGTCGCAGTACTCCAGCTGGGGTCTCATGAGAGCAGAGTGGAGGAGCAGAATCACCTCCCTCAACCTGCTGGCCACGCTCCTCTTGATGCAGCCCAGGATCCAGTTGGCCTTCTGGGTTGCAAGTACACAGAACAGTTTGGTTTCAGTTTTTTATTAAGTTTGTTTTATTAAACATCCCATAACTTGATCTCTGGGAACCCCTAACTAAATGGCAAGCTGGAACACCCAGCCAGCAGTTAGTCTCACAGCACATGAGGTCTCAACTCCTGGCAAACTCTTCTGTCTAACAGACCTCAAACATCCTTTACTAATGCTATTTGTGGCATACCCTAATGGCCTGCAAGCCTGAGTGACTTTTGTGGCTCTAAAACGTAATGAATATTCTCTGCCATCACCCTATATATTTTAAAGCCAGATAGAATTTGAACATTTTACACTGGAGCTAATGGGGGGAAGGGAGAGGGAGGGGAACCAGCTGCACATTTTTACTGATTAAAATCTGACACTTCAAGGCTTTGGAAGAGCTGATTTCATTCATATCTCAAGCTTTTGCAGGATGTATGTTTGCTTTGTGATGAAGAGGCGTTCCGTGTGTTAGGAATGGTAATGACTGACATTTTACAGCTTTGATCCTAAAAATACTTGCTTTGACTTGGTGAACCAGATTCTTTGTCTCCTTTCTTTGTCCTAAATCTCTAATTTAACATTACTGCTGACTGTGGCTTTCTTCTCTGGCGTGTATTTTAGGGTATGTTTCAGGGACATGTCAGGGTATGATAGTGTCAGGTCTGGGAAGCTCTCTCCTGGCATCCTCCTCCACTGGAAGCAGTAACAGTGTAGCTATTGCTGAATTTCTTCATAAAACATCAAAAGATTACAAACAGCTGAGCATTAAATCATACCTATGGGAACCATAATATGACATGACAACTTCCAGTAATGGAAGGTGTTTGAAAGTTTCGTAATTATGAGTGAAAGCTAAAAATATGCTCACAAAGGCACACTGAAGAACTTAACAGGAATAGTGTTGAGACAGTAATGTCTCAAAGTTATATATACATTTCTAAAATTGTGAAAATATCACTGAAAATTTTAGAGGCAGATAATAACAGTTCCAGCAAAATATCTCTGTAACCATTTTCTCATAACATTGACACAACTGGGGAAAATAATGCTCCTAAGGAGCCGTTACAGAATATAATATTGGTGAGTAGACTGAAGTCCTATTAATATGAGTGGATCATGACTCCTGTGAGGACCATTACAGGAGCAAGCATTTTGCTAATGAATGTGTGTTCGGAGTGATACATGTTGGCTGCTGTAAACTTGTAGAACTGCTGTAGTCTTTCATTGCAGTGATGTGTGGGTTACACAGGTCTTAGTAGAAACATTGTTTTCTCGTATCTCCTTAGACTGCAGCAGAGAGGGAGAGAACCAGTGTGGCAACATGTGCTTTGCTGCATCCCTCCACTAGGTCCAGGCACTAGGTCCTCCACTTAAGAGCAGAAGTGTTCCTGGGTGTAGTGTGTTAGAGATTGGATGTTGAAGAAAGCCAACCAAATCCAGTATCTTAATTTCAAGTGTCATTTGACTGATGGAAGGAAAGAAAAAAATCCTAATGGCTGCCAAATAGAAAAGGAAGACAAAAACTTGGCAGTGAATATCATATGATGCTGCTGCCAAGAAAAAATTACAATGGGCATAAAAATATAATTAAAATCTATAAAACCTGTAATTGAGCAGTCCTTTTTTCCATATATGTATATGTTGGTAATTGTCTATTCTGTACAGCACATACTGTTTTTCCTACTTTTTCACGTAGCAATAAGTTCTAGCACATGGATTTCCTTTCTCCCATGCATATATATGGTGTTAGGTATATTTAGAGCCAAATGGTGGCCTCTGTTATTCCAGTTTATCAGACTGTAGCAGTCAGTTACACTCCCAAACCTGGGAAAGGAATGGACCTATGATGTATATGCCCAGAGCAATCCAGCATGGTGAGGCTGACACTGAAATGATGGTGGCAAGGTGGAGCATGCAAGCAGAAGCAAGGCAAGGGTTCATGGAGCGGGTGAGATGCAGCTGTCCTGGAAGCACAGTTCACAGCCTGTCCTGCCAACAGATGGGTGGGAGTGGGAGAAGGCATGAATGCAGCTGGTAGATGGCTGAAGGGATACTGGAGCCATCCGCGTGGGAGCGCAGTGCTTGGGGAGAGATGGTGTCAGCTTCCCATGGCCATCGCTTTATCGCAGTACATGTGTGTGGAGCTGAACACCTCACGGGACAGTGCAGGAGTGGAAGGAGGCGGAGGTGTGGTAGATGTGTGTGAACGTGACAGAAAAGCTGTTTGAGGTGGTGGCTGGGAAAGCCCCACGCCCCTGTCTGTGCATGGCAGTGCGGCTGCTGCTCTGCTAGGGCAGCATGGCACACCTGTGCAAGGACGGGGCGACAGCGCCAGGGTTTCGTTGTGGTACAGATACTGCTAAGGACCTCTATAATGCAAAGGATAATGCTACGGAACTTACTGCTCAATTAAGGTTAACATCTTTAACATTTTACTGGAAGCACTGTGGTCAAAGGCTTTGAGATTGCAGCAGTATGCTTAAAATTACATCTGAGTTCATGCATTTTGCTGATGTGGGACCAGAGTGTTTGGAATTATGACAGATCAAGTCCTTGTTTCAGTCCTCTTATTTGTCTCTTTATCTGTGATTATCTTGTCAGCCTTTCTACTTTAGAGCATAAGTTTCAATTCAGCCCAGATGTGTAAAAAAAAAAAAAAAAAAAAATCACTACTTTCATAGGCAGCAATTAATTCAGAATTAGCTTCTGCAGATACTACCTAAAAACTTGCTGCTCCTTGTTTGTTGTTACTAGATGTTTGGTTGGAAAGCAAAAATAAACCAAACCAAAAAAACAACACACACAGCCCTCAGCCTAATCCCAATCCCTAATTTCAAAGAAAATTTGAGATAGACTTCTCATATTAATATTCATATCTAGCATTTTTGTTAAGTGGGTGGAATTTTTTTTCCTGAATCAGACACAAGGAAAGTTGTCCACTGATTAGAAGATACTTCAAATAACCTTTATGTGACTAGGCAAAATGAAGCATGGGTGTTTTGCTTAATGGGCTGTTGACATCCAGCTCTGAATGCAGCCTTCACTCTGCACAGCAGATTTAGCTTGAGTTTTGGTGTCATGCATAACAAAAAACATAGAGCAAGTTTTTGTTTTGGAAAAGGTTGGCTCAAACCCCCTTGTGGGGTAGTTCAGAGCAGTGCTTGGTGTCATTCACAGATGTCATGACATTGGACTCCAGGGGTTTGCTTGTATAAAATTTGGGTCCAAATCTTCCATACTCTTGGTATTTTTCTTTTCATTAACCATCTCAAGAGAGAAAAAACACACCAGGAAGATGATAGTTCTCAGCTTCCCTAATCACCTGCAAAGTGGTTCCTTATGGTACAAGGGTGGGATGGGCAATGTGGGAAGGGGCTGGCTGAGCACAGCAGGACTTTACTGTGCAACATGTTTTTCTGTTGTAGATAACACTTATGTTTCCAGTTCTGATAATGATGAAGATGTGTTAGTTACAACAGAGCCAATTCCAGTAATTTTCCACCAAATCGCTACAGGTAATCTTATGTCCTGAGTGTTTTATCAAGTTCATGTTTTGTGAAGAAAGACCAGATGTTGCCTGCACTTAAAGGGAGATGTGCTAATGTGTGCAGCTATACAGTTTGCTATTTTATCACAGTCTTGCTGTAGTAAATTGCCCCACATTTCAGAACAGAAGAAATTAAAATATTTCTTTTGGGGATCAACATGATTGTGTAGTCAGAATGTATTTTATTCTTTTAATATCTTGCAGTTTGTGCTAAAGCAATTCTCCTTGAATACAGTTAGAGGTGCTTAATACTTCCCAATTATAAGTTTTCATGCTCGCTTGCTTAAAACTTCACTAAATCTTCACCATTGGGAATGAAACAGTCTATAACTACCATTGCCTCTGGAAAGTTATTTGAGGAAATTTCAAACAAAATGGTTCAGCTGTTTCACTAAATTAGACTCCAGAAAAAAAAAAATATTTTTTTGCATTGATTTTGGGAACCTCTCATTTGAAATTATTTCCATACTTTCAAAAAGTGTTTGTTACATGAAAGGGTATGCTTTTCAAACATATAGGCACATTTATGCCATATATAATCAAGACTTGTGCATACTCTATAGAGACTTCTTAGATTTTAGCAGCCCAGTTCCCTGATGATTTCAGGCTGCAGGAGAAACTGCATAGAAGAGTCTTAGTTCTGGCAGTTCTTCAGATAGGAACACTTGACTTTGCAGTCTTTTTATTATTATTACAATGCTTTAGGGCTTTTTTTGCGTAACACAGAATTACTTTGAATTCCACCAGAAAACCAATATGATCTTCGTCTCTGATCTCATTTATACTGATATAAATCAAGAATAATTTTACTGAAGTTGGTGTGGTGGCACCCAAACAAAAAGTGGCCATTATCATCAGAAGTTTAAGATAAATTTTACTTGCAAATATTTCTGTAATTTAGAAAGAAATAAAGCCTGTCATTTAAAATAAAATAAAAACCTATGTTTTGTATAGAAGATGATCTGATTTAGTTTTGCTGAGGGGTTTGATTTTTTTGTTCTTTTATAAAGTATGCAAAATTCACGAATGACTAAATTGTAAATCATAGATTGGGAAAAACAAATCTCCTAGATGGACCAGCTGAGTTTCATTTCACAGTTAAAAATATGAATCTTCTGAGACATAGGGACTTCTTATTTTTAGACAGCTGTATTGTAAACTTTTCAATGCTTTTCATACCTGTAACTTTTTGTTCCTTATTTGCTCTACTACTGCAACTAAGTATTTCAAGTCTGCATATGCAAAATTATTTCACATTTTTCACAGATGTTCCCTTTTTTCCCTTTTCTTTTAAGAATTAAGAAAAACCAGTGATGTCAACTATTGCTTATCCATAAAATCAAAATTACAGAGAGAAAATGGAGAGGTATGTATTTCTTGTGTGTGTATTTTAACAGAAGTTATTGTAAGAAAAAGCAACATAATAAAATACGAAAGTTTTCCTGTCAAACATGCTTACAGAAACTGTGTACATTTACATGTTTTAGAAGGTGAATGTAGTTCTCTGGGTTTCATACGTGGATTAACCAGTGAATCACTTACTGGGGATAGGGATGCTCCCATCCTAGGAAACACGGTTTTGACATTTGTTTAATTTTTTTGTTCAACAGTGCTTTAGACACTCTGTGCCCTAAAAATTCAGGTCTCCTGGAGACATAGATCATGATGCCATTGCCTTTTAACCTAGTCTTGCATGTAGGACCACATCCCATCTATTAGCTCACTGCTTCTTCACATGGCCTACACCAGCCCCACTGGAGTCTCTAGACCTGTGCATGACTGTTCACTGTAAGTAGTGTCTGGAGTACTAAGGCCTTCCAGTCATGGTTGTGTTTGTGCTGAACTTCTTACATGAGTCCCTGCCCAGTCTCACTGAGACATTAGCTCAAGAAAGAAGTGGCACCAACATAAAGTCTACAGGGCTTGACATTGTTATGGGCTCAAAGAAAGTACTCATAGGCTCCTACCCCAAGCAAGAAATTGAGTGCTGTCAAGAATTCAAGTGTTTGACTTAAAGACTTCCTTTGGTAAGGGTGGTTACTGAGTTTCTTGATGACTGACTGCTTTTTAGGCTGGTATCTGTATTTGATCCTGGAAAGGGGAGATAAGCATGCCCAGATACGCTAATATGTGTGGTTGGGTTTTTAGTAGATGAAACCTGATTTGATAGAAAAAGCTGCACTGGAAATACTTTCCTTCTACAACCTCATAATTGTATTCAGTGCTCGGTAAACATTAGAAGTTAAAGTGCAGGAAGAATTTACCCATTTGATTAAAAGCCTGAGTTAATAATTAGATTCTCTGGGACAGAGTTTAAGCTTTTATTTTGTTTATTGTTGAACAAGGCGCTTAAATATGAAAGTAGTGAAAAAAAGAGTCTCTAACACTGACCCATTTCTGTTGGCTAGACAGTTAGAGGTTTGGTTAGGATAGGATGGATTTGTCACTGTTCTGATGTAAGAGTTTCATTTCTCTTTGTTTTGTGTTGAATCTTTGGTTGGTTGAGTTCTGTTTTAACACAGACTTCCCCTTGAGCTGAGGTTATTATAAACCAAAGAAGACTGAAGTACCTTTTTTTTTCTTTTCAGTGAAGTAGAAGCAGAAATTTGTCATAGAAAATGGCCATGAAATTGTCTGAAATACAGTTTTTGTTCTATGGATACATACAGTCAGTAGAGCAGGAATTTAGAGGCAGAGGTACGGAAATGAGACTAGGGTGTCTGACCATAGAAATTGGTGATAAGGGTATATTTGACATTTATGAATATATGGGATTTAGGGGTAACATATTTTTTTATTGATGTATCGGATTTCTATTCCATTATGGCAGTCCTGTGCAGGATGTAAATACAAAATAAGCAGTAAGTACATCATGTTCAGGTTGAAGTGAAGAATTATGATTTTAACAGGTGTTCTTTAGGGGATCCTTGTCAGCATAGTGCCTGAAAATAAAACATGGGCTGTGGGAAACAAGAATTAATATCTTCAAGCAATTACATAATTATATGTAAAGGTTCCATTGGTATAACACTTCAGCTCATGCTGAGTTGCAGTCTATACCAGGATCAGTTCTATTTACTTGAGTGCAATTATTCACAGAGCAGCCTATTTAGAGCACATTTTACTTGGGTAAGCATATTGCTTTCTAGTCCTTAATTTTCAAAGTCACAGAGCAGAGCTAGTCAGAAAATTAAGTTTGAGCTTTTCTGGCAACAGGCTAGTACTTGTGTAAAAAAAAAAATTAAGCAGCAGTGTGTTGTTTTTTTCACAGAAAGGAACTTAACAGATCCCATGCTTGGAGTTGAATTATTTCCTTAGACTATTAGAATTGATTTGTCAGAATAAAGTGAATCAACATTTTATTAGGGCTCTGAAACACCAAATTAATTAAGCTCAGAACCTGTCTTGATGGGTAAATTAGGCTTTGTTTAGCAAAAGCACAGAGTGAAGTATCTTCACATAGTCTACTGAACTCCTCAGTTCCTTAAAATACCACACCGTGCCTGTAGCCAGACAAAGTATTATTTATCCAACATGTATTCAGGGTGTTTTTATGTACCCAGTTAGTGGGTGCTTGTTTTGTCCAATATTTCACGATTCTTAAAACAGGCCCTTAGTACTCTTCTGTAAAAATGATACTAAAGGATGTCTTAATAAAAGCTGCTATGAGCTTATTTGAAGAACATAATCCCTGTATTTATAATTAGAACTATAAATGCAAGATAAGCATATCGCTTGTATCGCTGTTAACTTTTGTTTTCCTTTAAGGAGTCACGACACAACAGCACAGTTGAAGAAGACTCTGAAGGAGATAATGATTCTGAGGAATTTTACTATGGGGGACAGGTAATGGAGGAAATTTTTGCACAAGTTTCAAAAAATTAATATTTGAAAGCTTCTGTTGCTCATTCCATTATACATTTATGATAATAATTACTTATGTTATTCAACATCAAATAGAATGCCATGTGTATATATACATAGTATTTTATAGCAGAAATATCAAACTCAAAATAAGATTAGTTTGTTTACATTTGCAAGGCTGTAAGAATAGAAGAAGCAAGTACTCTTCAGAACATTTGAAAACAGAAGCCAGTTGCTTACTTCCAGGAAATAGATATTCACTCTTTAAGGCATATCCCATTATTGATACAAATGGGAGGTCAGACTGGATCCAAATGTGTTTCCTTTTGGAGGACTGCCATTTTGTAAAATCAAGAGTACTGCAATTTAATGCTAAAAATGGTTATTCCAAAACAATTCTCTCTAGGCAATAGTTCATTCTTTTTCTGAACTCTACAGATAAATTCACCTTGAAAAATGCTGCATATTTTTAGATTAATGTACTGCTCTGTGTCTTTTCTTCTTGTTCCCTCAGAAGAATTAGTTATTATTACATTCTGTTATGTATCGGGAAATAAAATCTCTTAATCCCTTTTCCTTTTGCAATATCAATAGAGCGCTTCACACTACTAGTCTCTTTATTCAGATTTTTCTTATCTTTTTAGTCTAACTGTTGCCCCAAAGGAGTCATTCCTCACTTATGTTATTAGAACTGTTTATTTCAGTAAACATTTTAACAAATTATGGTTGCTGTTTATGAAAGTTGACACTGCCTCAGCCTTGAGGCTGAAGCCGTCCGTGCCCTGGGTGCAGAGCCAAGGCTGCAGGAGCACGCCAGCAGTGCCAGCTGGTTGGGTTGCTGCAGAGAGCGTGGGATGCTGATGAGCAGGACGTTTCTGAGCCTTTTATCTTGCAGAGCCAAAAGCATGGTTGAGTTGCTTTACTCCAAAAAAAAAAAAAAAAGCATGCCCCTAAAAAGCTATTAAAAGTGATATTGAAACTGGAACTGAAAGAATGTATTTTCAGTGTCAGAAATAACTGACATGGAATATTGAGTCATGTTCACTTTAGAAATGACTGCAGGAATTGACTTCCTTCAGCTGCAGAATCCTACAGCCCCATGGAGTGCTGCTGAGGAGCATGTACACACACTTCAGTGCAAAGAGCAATGTCTTGTTTTAATCTGCCTGAGAGGAAAGATCTTCTGCTTTTACCCTGTAGTGATGAGTTGTCAGTAGTGACTCCATTTTTCAGCTCTACAGAAAGGGCAGTGACCTCAAGGTGAAGGAAAAGGCAGCAAACAGCTGGGAGTGCTTATTTCTTGAACCAGCACTAATACGTTTGGTAAAGGATGCCTACCAGTGACCAAATGAGTGAATAAATGTTAACGCTGCCTGTGAGATATCAACACAGAGAGCAGTACATCATTTTGCAAGGTGTAGAAGAGCTGTGTAATAGGCAATACTGGTTAGAATTTAGTTGCTTTATATTTGAATTGGAAACTACATTATCTTGCATTGTCGTTTTTTTAAGGTGATACATATAATTGTAACATTACATTTAATTATAACTGTCAAAAATAAATACGATTAGATTAGCAATGAAAATAAAAAAATCAGATGACTGAAAGTGTCATGAGTGGAATATTCAAAAAGTAAAATAAGGAGAACAAACAAACAAAAAAAGACATCATAGAAAGTGTATTTAACAAGAGAGAAAAAAAGGAAATTTGGAATTTAAAGTCACATGGTCAAAAAGACAAAATTCTAAAGAAGATCTGTAGAATTAAAGAAAATATTGAAAACTTGGAAAATAAATAGGTAATTGGGTAATGAGCAAAGTCCCTTGAGGCATAAAAAGAACAGTCCTTTTTCAAATAAAGTGATTGTACTGTTATTAAGTGATCACCAGGTGTATTGAGAAGACAAAATGGTTGACTGTCCATGTGAAGAAAAAGCAACACAAGCTGCTTCATTTGAGACCAATGTGTGCTGTGCCCACAGAGGAAGGGGACAAAAAGATTGAGTTCAGTAGCTAGAGGGAATAGATACTGGTGTAAATACAGTTGGGAAGGGTGGAGGTGAGAGATCTTAACATTTCTAAGCGGTTACAGCTGTAAAGACAGAGCAACTGGTGATGAAACAAGGACCACGGAAGATGGGAAATGGCATTTGATAGGCAGTGAAAACAAGATATGATCTTTCGGTGATAAATTAAATGTTTGTATCTGCTTCTGAGGCACCTATATAATCCTCCCTAAGGATTTAATGGATAAATACTTTAAAGTAGCTAAGTGATTCAATACCCTAAGTCCTATTGATTTTCAATGGGATTTAGGTTTGTAAATCACTTAATCTCCTTTAAAAATGCAACCTTTTGTCGTTATGTGGGACAAAATAATCTGAATCAGGTCTCAGATTAAAAACTGAGGCTTTCTAAACACAGACCCTTCAGACACAGCAAAGTTATCAGATTTTTTTGCTTTCTCTGAGACTCTTTGTTAATTCTTGCTTTGAATCTCTATCTTCTGCCTTTACAAATGAGAACAGGGGATTGAAACTGTAATACTGCTACCTTTGGTGCTCTTTCTCCCTCTCTCTAGTGCTTCAGTTACAGGACATACTTGTAAATTTGCGTACATCAGTGTGTCTGCAGCACTAATTCAGAGGTGCATACTATGGTCTTATAATTTGCCAAAAAACTGCTTTGTTTCCTTTCTGAGTTGATAACCTCTTACCATCAGAAAATAGATTGGAGAAAACGTTATGTTGAGCAGTTCACTGTTCTGCACAGTGTTCCTTTTGTATTTTACTATTGTTGGTACGTAAGACTGGTTAAAAAAATGTGGTTTAGGACCAACAAAGGTGGTGAGTGCACCACAGCTACGATTTGTGAAATGATTGCTGTACTCTCTTGGGAAGCAGGACAGCAATTATTTATGCATATTTAAAGAATTTATCTTTGAGTAATGAGCATGTAAAAAGGATTGGTTTGCTCCTACCTATAGTAAAAAAAAAATTTTTTTTTTCTTCCTATGCTCTTCTACTTGGAAAATTGTTCTGATATGCCTGCCCAAACAGGGGAGGGTTACTTGGCTTACACCCTTCTGGTCATGAATATCATTGGTATTTCTGATAAACACATGCCCGTGCTGTCCCGATTAAACCTGTCCCTTAGATTTGAAGAATTCTAAGTCTAATCAAATTATTCTTTGCTAATTTTCACATGTAAAAAGTGATAATCTGATTATTATTTTATTTTAATTTTATTGAAATTTATTTGATTAGATTGAAAAGTACATCTCTAAGTATCAGAGACGAAAGTGTCACAGTACTGGTCTCCTACAGATTTGGATGTACTTATGGAAGAAACAGTACTGCAGTTAGATATGGTTCTGACACAGCAAAAATTCTCCACAGGAATTCCTGTATAAGGATCTATGTATGCTGAAAGGGATAAATTACACTCATGTGCTTTGCTCTCTGAATTTATCAAAGGTGCAAGCCAAATCCCACTCTAATTTCTGAATCTGTCCAGATCTAGGGAGTTCATCAGCTATTGTGAAATTACTGTCATTGTGCTGTCATTGTTGTAAAGAAGTGGAATTGGGTTCACACAATCAGGAGCATATTGCTTAATGAGAAGGTAGTAGTGGACTGTGAATAGATTGTTACAAGCCTAAAGAGGTATTTTGGTCCTTGCAGAAGATAGGAGGATATTAGTTACATTGACTTCACACAGTCCAACCAAACCAGCTCACAAGTTTTGCTTTATAGTGTAAGCGCTAAAGTAACTGTTTTTGTTTTTCATGTGGAGTTTGAAAAAAAAAAAATGGGGATGATGTCTAAATACACGTTTCTTTGTACCTTCTCTGTTAAAATACTTAAAATTTGAAAGTGTTCTTTAGTTTTACTTTCATCTGTTGCACTGGTGGATAGAATACAGACAATGGGGAGACTGAAAATGTAATTTAGATGCTGAGACACTTTCTATATAGAACAGTTTCATGCTTCTCTTGTTGAGCTCAAACCATTTTGTGTCTAATATATATGAAAGTGTGACAGCAAGCAAGAGGGAGCAAACCTTTGTCCTGTAGTGGTTGGAATGGGATGATAAGACTGCGAAGATTCGGTTCTTCTCCTGCTTAACAGTTTTAAAATGCACAAGTGTGACAGAACAAACCCCAGGACCAGACAGGACAGAGGGATGGGTCCTTTGCAGCTTCTCTTCCCACAAACAGGAGAGGTACCCTCAAAAAATTTCAGAGCAGAGGTGCCTGCTTTGCAAATCTCTTGCTTAGCAGAGCTAGACCACCTTGGTGCTTCAGCTTGTCAACACTGTGTCCTTTCTGAGTGTGGCAGTAAGGAATCTTAATGCAGCATATTTTTCAGGGACTTTTGAGAACGTAGATTAGGTGCCAGTAATGAAATAATTAAGAACTCCTGGGATATTTTTTCCCCTGGTAGGTTAACTATGATGGAGAAATTCACAAGCACCCACAGCTGGAAGCTGATTTGACAGCAGTGAGAGAGATCTATGGACCTAATGCAGTATCTCTCAGGTATGTCATTGATCTTTCCATATTGTCGAACCTTTAACATCTTTTGAGATTTAGTTCTATGTGGACCTTCCCTGACTGCCAAAGCACAAGTCTCTCCTGGTGTTTTCTACATATTGTCTGGCAAAAGGAAGGAGCACTCCTGGCTAGCTGTTTTGGTTTTTTTTTTTTTTTGTTTTTGTTTTTTTTTTTTTTTTTTGTGGTTGAGTACTCGTACAACTGGCTGTGCTGAAAACAAGCCCTGGAAGCCTGTTCTATAACATCATTGTCTTTCACAATTCAGTCGGTATTTGATCAGGCTGCTGTATTTCATTGAAAATTACTATTCAGCATTACTCTAAACCCTTGTTAAACTCCTTTTCTGTCATATTCTGTTGTTTGCTCTGGAGGTGAAGAAGAGGAATGATAAGAGTTTGTGTAAATGTGTTCCCTAGGGAAA